ATATATCATAACAACTTAGGTAATACTAATTATGTTAATGTTTCTCTCTCCTGCAAGATCGATCAGATCATAATACCGTTAAGATCTTATTAAGGAAATTATTTAAATATAAGAAATGGAAGAAAAAAATAAAAGACGGTTCAAACCGGTGCTCAAAACATCAACTGCTGGTGCGGTCGACGCGTCACCATTGTCTTCCACTGAACTTTCTACTCCCGCGACGCAACCCACACCTTTAAAACCGTCTGTACCAAAAACAGTTAACGCGTCAACACAAAAAGGTCAAAAAAATCAAAAAGTTTCAGACGGTCCGGTGAAAAAGATAACTCCACGTAAAAAGCGAGCACCTCCTGAAACCGCTAGTTCGGTGGATAATTCTACGGATACTAAACCGGCAGTTTCCCCAAAGACTGTACCAAATACTGAAGGGACAGTGAGCCAAGCCGTTACACAACCAGCGAGTTCGGTACCCTCGCCTTTGGCGGTGAGTGGTCAGTCGCAAGCTTCTGTTGCACAGGTGTCAACTACGGTTCCGACTAAAACGCCGAAAAAAAGAAAAAGCAAAACTGCTATTGGTCTTAATACGAGTAATACTGGAAATAATGAAATAGAAAGTAAGCCCAAGAAGGCAAAAAAGCATAAAGACCCAAAAGATCCCAATGCTCCAAAGAAACCTGCAAATGCATATTTATTGTTTTCAAATATCAAAAGGTACGTTGATTAAATCTAAAGCACGAAAGACGCGTCGTGTTTAAATTTCTTATATACATATTTTAATTACTTTGTCAATAGAAAGGAAATCAAAGATAAAAATCCGAATGTGGATGCAAAGGGGATAATCACATTGATCGGAGAGGCGTGGAGAAAATTGTCCGAGGAGGAGAAAAAGGTAAATGTAGTTCATTGTAAAAGAGCGCTATAATGATTCAATTACCAGCTGATGAATAGTATCTTTATTTTGCAGCCATATAAAGAGATGGTCGAAGATGCAAAGAAAAAATATGAAGAGGACATGAAGGCCTATAATGCTGTATGTAATGAACAATTAAAAGAACATTGGTTTGATTTTAAAGATGTACTTGTACAAGTTAAATTTTTTCTATGTAGTCTATGAGTAATGCAGCTATATTCGATAAGGATCAGATAAGCACCTCCACCTCTCCGGATCAGGGAAAAGATAATTCCAATGGATATACGTCAATAACGCCTTTTTCGAGTGAACCTCCCTTGGTCCATGAAAACGAAGTGAGCACGTCCTCGGTTCATGATGCTCCGATACAAAATATATCCAAGTCCGAAATTGAGCTGCGTGGTCAACAGGGTGAACTCTCGCAAGTATCCTCACAACAAGTATTATCCTCTATTGGCGATGTTTCTCTGGTTGCGTATACAACATATAGACAACAAGAACAAGACGCCATGGAAGCTTTATTGGACATGCCGGATACTGGTAATGAATTCGATTTTCGATACCACAATATGGATATTTTTGATAATTATTTTATTCAATATCTCAATCAAAACCACCAAATTACGACTTCAACACCATCATTTGTAATAAATATTCGCGGGGATCCAGATAGTGTAAATGTTTCTCAACACTTTTCAATCACACAAGAGGAACAACTGTCACATCAGACGCCTGACCATGAGCTACTGCTTTGTCAACCTTACGAACCTCCAGCTGAACAACATGGATCAGGTCAAGGTTCCGAATCTGTCGGTGATCAAACTGCCCGTCTTTATTTGTTCCCTCCAGAAGGGCAAACGCAAAATTCGATCGGATTCAACCAAGATGCAGTGACCATGACAGATTCTGATTATAATCAAAATTCCCTTAATTTGTCGATAGAACAAAATCAAAATCAAATTTCTAAAGAAATATTAGTTTCGCAGTCTTTTGAACCTCCCGATGGATGTGACTCCAGAGAGAATTCTAAATCCGTCAGCGATAATCAAAACGCAAACAGCTCACCCATCATTATTCATAATCAAGAACATAGTTCGGTTAATTTACTCTTATGTCAACCCTTTGATCCACCAAATAATACTGAAGCGGAAATTTCCAATACTTGGTATCAAGACGGCAATCAATACCAAGATTTGCCATCTCAACATTCGTCTCATCAGTATACTGACGAATCAACGATCTTTCAACAACAGATGTCGCAGGACGTTCCCGGATACCAATCCGAAATACCACAGAGGATCTCGCATCAAAGTCAAATTAAATTTCATCACCAAGAAGTACCTCATCAACAAATGATCCCTGATTCTCAAATAACGCCGTCAAACTTTTCGCAATATTTGCATCAACAAGGTCAAATGCATCAACATCCAGTACAACATGTAATTTCTAAAGATATAACAGATCATGGAACACGGCATCAATTAGCATCTCCACACATAACATCAATTCAGTACATCAATCGTATGTGTCCGCAGCAACTCGTATCGCATTCACCATTACTGCGCCAACAGCAAGAAATAAATGACTTGAC